CCATCCACTCTTTCCCCTGCCTCAAGGAGCTCTGCACTGCTCCGAGGTCACTGAGTGTCAGGAAATGATTGACGTCTTTGCTGTCTGTAACATAGAGCTAACAGTAACTGTAACATGTCCTATGTATGTAAAAAAGTATTTCATTTCTTAGTTTTTTTGCATATTTGTCGCACTTTTTTCCAGTTCATCAAACAAATACTAGACAAACATAACCTGAGTAAATGCAAAACATAGTGTTTAAATCATGATTTCATTTATTTCATTTATTAAGCGAAAAAGGTATCCAAACCTACACGGCCCTGTGTGAAAAAGTAATTGTTCCTTAAAGCTAATAATCAGTCATTGTCAATGAGTCTTTCACATCTTTGTGAAGGAATTTGGACCCACTTTTCCTTTTTTTTTAAATTCAGCCACATTAGAGGTTTTTTAGCATAAGCGGCCTGTTTAAGCATATAAATCTGATTGAAGTCCAGGCTTGGCTCCAAAACTTTCACTTCTCGTTTCTTAGCCATTCAGAAGTGGACTTGTTGGTGTGCTTCAGGTCATCGTCCTGCTAGATAACCAACCCAATGAGGCCTTGGTGTGGCGAGTGAAACCGAACTTTTTTTCTTTCCAAAAAATGTTGTTAATCACAGTTAATTCCTGACTTAACAAGAGAGGCAGTTACTTTTCCACACAGTGCCAGATAGGCTTCAGTAGCTGTTTCCTTATAAATGATGAAGTCATCATCTAAAAACTGAATTCTGTATTTGTTCGGGTTATCTTGGTCTAGTATTAAAATTAGTTTGATGTAAAACAAAAAAACCAGAAGGACTTGAATGCTTTATCACTGGACTGTATTTATAGTGTGACTGTGCAGTGTTTGTACATGAAATTTGAATGACATTGGCCACAAACGCAGCTCACTGAGTGTTTTTTCCTGTAAGGTATGAGGATGGTTTCCTGCTGGCCAATCCGGGTAGCGTGGACCTGGCCGAGCGACAGCCGCTGGATGAGGAGAACGACCGTCTGAGAGACATCGTGTCGTCGCTGCACTCGGCCATGGCTGCAGAGCGGTCCAAGCGGGAGGGTGCAGAGAGGGAGTGTGCTGCTGTGCTGCAGGAGTTTGAGCGCCTGGAGCAGCGTCTCCTAGGAGCAGAAGGATGCCAGCTGCGGGTTCAGGAGTTGGAAGCTGAGCTCCAGGAGATGCAGCAGCTCAGGAAGTCCAGGGTGTGTCTGATTGGTGACATGGAAGACGGCCTAGAGAATCTGCTCAATAACGGCCCCGAGACTGACACTCCAGAGGAGAGCCCAGGGCAGGAGGACGGAGGCGAGGGAGGTGCTGGAGAGGCTGGGCAGCAAGGAGGACCGGTGAGAAAAAGCTGCAGCGACACAGCCCTGAACACCATCTCAGCTCGTGACGCAACAAGTAGACGGCAGGGGAGCTACGCCCTCCACGCCAACGGCGTGCGCAAACGGGGCATGTCCATCCTGCGGGAGGTGGACGAACAGTACCACGCGCTGCTGGAGAAGTACGAGGAGCTGCTGGGGAAGTGCAGGCGTCACGAAGAGAGCCTGTGCCACGCAGGGGTGCAGACCTCGCGCCCCGTCTCCAGGGATCCCTCCATGAAGGAGTACAACATGGCCGCCGCGGGGCCTTCCACCTCCGGAGACGTCGTGATCGCCGCCGCCCCTCCTACACCCCCTCAGACTCCCTCCACCCCTGAAGCCCTGGAGGGGATCAGCAGGCAGGTGGAGCAGGTGGACAAACGGCTGAGCCAGAACACGCCAGAGTACAAGGCGCTGTTCAAGGAGATCTTCTCCCGACTGCAGAAGACAAAGAGCGACATGAACACGAGGAAGAGCAGAAAGACTAACAAGTGAGGCACAGATGAGATACTACAAACATCTCAGTTTACCAAACTGTTTAAAGGCTTCTCATTTAACCGTTTGGACACCCTTCACTGCTGTATCCTGTTTCACATGAAACTGCCAAAGGGATGAAATGCTTCTCCTGACTGTAACTGACAAACTATCTGAACGGAGGGTTTTGTTGTGACGTCGTTTGTAACTGATGCAGAAATGACTCCGTTTATTTTGCATTTATGATAAACACTGAAGCCAAATAACAGGCCAACTTTCAGAAGCTTTAAAACTTGCAGCATTTACAGCATGCATCTGGCTGATAACACAAAAAAAGCTAAATCTGTCTTTCAGAAACAGGAATCGCAAGCTTTTGAATGGCTCAACGAGCTTAAAGCTTTTTGAACTCACCGGATGGCACAAAAGTGTACCTCCTGAACAGGCAGCGATGCTTCTGCATCTTTTTCAGGGATTTATTTCATCATTTCCACACTGTGCTGTCACATGATCCAACTTGTTCCTGTAATAGGCTGTTTTAATGTTTCCTGTTGATTAAAATAACTACTGCATCAACCATGTTCTCCTTTTTTGTTTTTGTTTAAACCTCTGCCAAGGTGGTTTAAATACATGTTTTTGTTACTGCTTGCATGTGTGCTGCCAGTCTGTCTGTAAATGCAACAGCTCGGAAAGTTTTGAATGAATTCTGATAAAACAGATCCATCAAGCTCAACTTTATGATTTATTAAAAATCAACAAAAAGCCTTGTAACTTAGAAACTACGATTCTTAACATGTACAAAGTAGCCTATAAAGATTTCTAACGTGTCACATTTGACCTCTCCTTCAAGGGCAGTAGATGATCCAAAAGTCAAAGTGATAATACTATTAGCCGATGTTTTTCTTACTGCCATTATTTGCATCGACAACATATCCCCAATGATATATGAGGATTGTAAATATCGTGGTACTTTGGACCTCTGACCTCTTCTTCGAGGTCAAACTTTTAGAAATAAGACATGTTAAGAAACCCTGCTTAAAACTCTGCTGCCTTTGTTTGTACAGTGGGGCAAAAAAGTATTTAGTCAGCCACCGATTGTGCAAGTTCCCCCACCTAAAATGATGACAGAGGTCAGTAATTTGCACCAGAGGTACACTTCAACTGTGAGAGACAGAATGTGAAAAAAAAATCCATGAATCCACATGGTAGGATTTGTAAAGAATTTATTCGTAAATCAGGGTGGAAAATAAGTATTTGGTCAATAACAAAAATACAACTCAATACTTTGTAACATAACCTTTGTTGGCAATAACAGAGGTCAAACGTTTACTATAGGTCTTTACCAGGTTTGCACACACAGTAGCTGGTATTTTGGCCCATTCCTCCATGCAGATCTTCTGAGAGCAGTGATGTTTTGGGGCTGTCGCCGAGCAACACGGACTTTCAACTCCCGCCACAGATTTTCTATGGGGTTGAGGTCTGGAGACTGGCTAGGCCACTCCAGGACTTTCAAATGCTTCTTACGGAGCCACTCCTTTGTTGCCCGGGCGGTGTGTTTTGGATCATTGTCATGTTGGAAGACCCAGCCTCGTTTCATCTTCAAAGTTCTCACTGATGGAAGGAGGTTTTGGCTCAAAATCTCACGATACATGGCCCCATTCATTCTGTCCTTAACACGGATCAGTCGTCCTGTCCCCTTGGCAGAAAAACAGCCCCATAGCATGATGTTTCCACCCCCATGCTTCACAGTAGGTATGGTGTTCTTGGGATGCAACTCAGTATTCTTCTTCCTCCAAACACGACGAGTTGAGTTTATACCAAAAAGTTCTACTTTGGTTTCATCTGACCACATGACATTCTCCCAATCCTCTGCTGTATCATCCATGTGCTCTCTGGCAAACTTCAGACGGGCCTGGACATGCACTGGCTTCAGCAGCGGAACACGTCTGGCACTGCGGGATTTGATTCCCTGCCGTTGTAGTGTGTTACTGATGGTGACCTTTGTTACTTTGGTCCCAGCTCTCTGCAGGTCATTCACCAGGTCCCCCCGTGTGGTTCTGGGATCTTTGCTCACCGTTCTCATGATCATTTTGACCCCACGGGATGAGATCTTGCGTGGAGCCCCAGATCGAGGGAGATTATCAGTGGTCTTGTATGTCTTCCATTTTCTGATGATTGCTCCCACAGTTGATTTTTTCACACCAAGCTGCTTGCCTATTGTAGATTCACTCTTCCCAGTCTGGTGCAGGTCTACAATACTTTTCCTGGTGTCCTTCGAAAGCTCTTTGGTCTTGGCCATGGCGGAGTTTGGAGTCTGACTGTTTGAGGCTGTGGACAGGTGTCTTTTATACAGATGATGAGTTCAAACAGGTGCCATTCATACAGGTAACGAGTGGGGGACAGAAAAGCTTCTTACAGAAGACGTTACAGGTCTGTGAGAGCCAGAGATTTTCCTTGTTTGAGGTGACCAAATACTTATTTTCCACCCTAATTTACGAATAAATTCTTTACAAATCCTACCATGTGAGATTCATGGATTTTTTTTTCACATTCTGTCTCTCACAGTTGAAGTGTACCTCTGGTGCAAATTACTGACCTCTGTCATCATTTTAGGTGGGGGAACTTGCACAATCGGTGGCTGACTAAATACTTTTTTGCCCCACTGTACTGCTAACATTTAGGAATGATACTGGTAAACAGGGAGTCTAAATAACACAATTTGTATACAAATATGTCTCATTTGACCTATGACCTCACTTTGGCATTTTACATCTGCCTCTCTTTCAGCTTGAGCCCAACATCTGTTAGATTTTTAAAGAAAGTACTGTCAAGACAAATAATGAATCCACATAAATAATTAGTAATTATTCTCAGGATGATGTCAGTAATTACAAAAGCCTGCCCTAGGCACTTGTTTTTACTGCACTACAAACCTCTTAAAGTACATTTACAAAGAACAAAGACAACAAAGTGAATATATACAAAATGCAGCAGTATTACCTTTCAAGTAAATACTGCCCAGAGAGCGAGTTTCTTGGCAGAGGTTTGAGCTCTGAGTGCTTCTTTGTTTTGCTAATAGTTGCAAAAGTGCTCATGAAGGAAGTTTGTTTGGTAATAACCCTGAATAAAACACGACACACACACACACACACACACACACCCCCAGTCTGAACACTTTAATGTGAACACAGATCAGTAAACTGTAGGGTAATACAAATAGCACACATCGAGTCTCACTCAACCCACAGAGGAAAAACATCAGTCCACGGCACGAGAGCTGAACGAAGCTTGACGGGCTTCACTCGGATACTTATGGAGTGTATTTAAAAAAAAAAAAGAAAGGAAAAACACTTTCATATGGCAGGATGTGTTAACCATCAGTGTCTGGTTAAAGGACTCGCGTCTCTATTCTGGTTCATAAGTCAATTATAGACAACTCTGAGCTCTGCTGAGTCAGCAGAGGCGGCGCGTGGCCGGTCGGGAGAGTCTGGAGGCACAGTCAGCAGTGGTAATCTTTAACTTGAGCAATACGAGGTGAGCGGTTTAACAGTTTTCTGCGGTGTTCGGCTCAATAGGGAACTGAGGTAACGCGCTAGAATTGATGTCCTCAGGAACATAAGAGGAGACTGGGTGACATAAAGCCATTAGTACAACCCGGACTCTTAGATTTAGAGTTCATTTATTAGATTTGAAGAAACCTACAAAGTACTGAAATGAAGGTGTTGGCGAATAAAGCTGATATGATTGACACCCTGAAACAAGGAGATTAGCATGTCCTCTGTCCTGATTCCCTGTCAATATAATACAAAATCTGTTAAAACAGGCTCACACGATGGTCTGGCAAATATAATATTTAATAGTAAGAAGGCAACTGGCTCAACTAGGCTGTCTATTTTTTTTATTTACTTGTTAAGGCCACACGGCTGCTAAAAAACAAAACAAAAACAAAACCTGCCAAAATACCCTGATCAGGAAAAAAAAAAAAAAAAAAAGAGAAAACAGCCACAGCTAAAGCGAGGGAATGCAAGGGGGTTAGAGGTAACTGCTTTCCCTCTTCTCTCAGCAGAATTTGCTGGCTGTTCGACTATTTGGAAAAAAGAAGTGGCCTGAATTCCAAATAATTTAACAAGACCCAACTACAAATAATCTGCTCAAAGGCTTTAGGCGGGCTGTGTCCAAGATTTGTGTCCAGCAATTACTGCTCAGTGACCGTACAGCGACCGTGTGCACGCAGCACTTTAGCTTCCTGTACAATTCTTTCCAAGGCAGATCGTGGTAATCGTACAAAACAATGTGAAAAAGAGAGAAAAGAAAGGAAGGAAAAAAGTGATAGAAATCAAATTTGCTTGTTAACAGATGCTTTTTTTTTTTTTTCTTTCCTTTTTTATAAACAAACTGTAACCAAAAATCTGGATAATGAACACCATTTACTTTCTCCGGGTTTTTTTTTAAGATGTCATTCTTGTAATAAAGGCTGGTGCAAACAAAAATCAATCAGCGTTGCTATGGGAGGAATGATGAAGTGATTGGAATTTAGAAGAAAAGGAAAATAGATGGAACCGCAGGAGAGGAGTGAGCAAGCTGATGGACGGAGAGAGCAAAAGACTGAAACAATCCAATATCCAGGGGGAGGTGGGAATGATGGCAAGAAAAAAAGAAAAGCGGAAACAAAGCAGAGGAAGACATTGGTGGACCAGCGAGCGAGTGTGGGAAGGGGGGGGAAAAAAAAATAAAAAAAAAATCAGTCCTTCCAATCCTTCTTGATAGCGAGGCTCCATTCCCAAGACAGGTGATCGTTTTTGTCGTCATCGGTGAACTTGGACTTGATATGGTAGGTGCCGCGGGCCAGCATCCCTTTTGGGGCTTCCTCCATTGTGGTGAGGAACTCGTACTCCTCGCTTGGTCTGGGGCCGTAGCTGCCCACCATGTAATCAGACTTGTCAACTGCACATCACAGAGGGAAAGAAAAAGGAGAACTTTAGGATCAAGAGGCAGACTCACTAGTTATTTTGTTTTGCCTTTTGTTTTTAAGTCAGTTTAGCTCCAGCATGGATTTTTATCATATGAAAATGGTTATAGTTTTAGTTTCATTGTTTTTTAATAATTACTGTATGGTGACCATGTATGAGAGGCAAGGTTTAGGAAAATCAGTACAGCTTTATAAAAACAAAACAAAAAACAGCAGAGTGAGATGATTTGAGCAGGCTCACCTCTAACTCCTTTCCTGAAAGTTTGCTGCATGTACTTCAGGCCTGACACGATCTCTTTGTTGACCTGCAGAAGGCAACAAGAGTTAAATTCCTCTGAAAAGCCTCTGACGATAATGATAGTGCTCTGCAGACTGCAGTTACATCTCCAGCAGTGATGTAACAACAACACTGCGACGTAAACAGAGCGCAGTGGCGAGTGTGACAAACACCAGACTCTCACCTTGAAGCAGATCTTTATTCTGTACTCAACTCCCTCCTTCATTGGAAACGGGTTCTTCCTGAAGCCTTCCAGGTCCCCTGGCAGAAAGCAACACAGCAGGGACAGAAGAGTCAGATTCTTTCCACTTTGACAAAAAAATAAAAACAACAACAACAACAAAAAATAATAATAATAATAATAATTACAAAAAAAAAAAAAATACACAGCAGGCTGATAAACAGTTCCCGTGGATTTTGGGGTTTCAACACCCTGTAGTAAGAATAATGACCACCAGGGGGAACAATGTCACAAGTGAGCCTCTGCTCTGCTGGAGGGGGCTGAAGTTTCAGGAAATGGCTCATTAACGCGGACACATAGGAATCAAGTCGACACCGATTAGTGAACTAATGACCCAGCAGGCCTATGACCCCCACCCCACACACACACACACCTTTCCATTAACACAACAATGAGACTTGTATGCCAGCCTCACTTCTGCTCACTTATTTTAGATTTCTAGTTTCTAAACTAAAATCGGCACGGACACACCTGCTCTACTTACCAGTCAGATCGAGGACCAGATTGTTTGGAGCCGTATCGCACACCAGAACCATCTTCGTCACCTGGACGTTGGGGACAGTGGGATCTAAGACAAGAAGAAGAAGTCACGCAATTAAAAACATCGTCACAGTATAGCAGGAGATAGAAAATCTCATTAGTTTGAATAAAACAACAGAAAAATGCTCAGGGGAGGTGTTACGTACACACACATCCATTTGTGTGTATATAACTACTCGAACACTCTACGTTGCATTTAATTTCAGTGAAATTTATCTAAAACATTAAACGCTCGTATCTGGCGAGTTAGAAAAGCCATAACAATCTCTGCTTTTCAAGCTCTTGAACTGAAATTGTAATCCATAAAGGATTTGCTTTACTTTGCACACGTGGAGTTGGTCTACTTTCATGAATACTGTGCTAAAATTAGTCATTTAAAGCCTTTTAACTAACAAAGATTTCAGATCAACAGTACCAGCATGCTGTATGACAGTAAATCTGTATATTTTTAAACAGATTTCTTTGCTGAGAATATAACTCCATGGCAAAAATAGAGGAAAGAGTCTGTCTGAGCTGTTAATGACTAGTTTCTGACTCATCAGCTCAGTTTTCAATATTCTAACTGTTTCCACAACAAATTCCTGGCCTTGTGATACGCCGTGCTATTGGTAGGACAAACATGTTGAGCAACAACGTTGGCAGGTTTATTAAAGAATGACTTTAACATGCTTTTGTCATGTCGTCACTACACAGGTTTTAATCATAAATTAAAAAAAGGCACAAGCTAAATCCACAAGAAAAAAAAAAAAAAAAAAAACTCCAACTCTTCTTGAAATCAACGCGTATTTAAACTTATTGACGTATGTTAATTAACATCAACACACCAACGACTACAGCAGCCGCGTTTCCCAGCAGCGCCTCCTTGTACTTGCGCAGGCTCTCGTCATCTTGGTCCAGCTCCTGGATCTCCTTCAAGCTCTTCTGGGCAGGGGGTTTGTAGTTGACAGAAGAGTCGCTCTCATCATTGGCTGCTGCGATCGCTGCCAGCTCCTCTGGTGTGGGCTCGTGCTCTGCCATGGTGTGCTAATTGCAGCAGGAAACATTGACAGAAGAGAGAGGAAGGGTTAGATGACAGGAAAGTAGAGTAATACACTTTGACCGACAGAGGTTCGCACCACAGACTGCTTCTCCTTTTCACTCTTGCTACGAAGCGAAGTAGCGACGGGCTGTTTAAGACTTCCAGCTGCTGGGATTCATTATCCTAGGGATAACAAACTTTGACCTGGGCGCAGCACTCTAAAGCTGCAGGTCATGTAGGAAGAAACAGCCTATTCTACTGCTTTAATAGTTCACATGCTGAAAGACAAAGTAATGGCATCTGCTCTGCAAAAACTTTCACTTCAGAGCAACTTCCCTGTTCAAACAGAGTGACAAGAGGAACAATCCACAGAGCTCGTGTGCACTATTTTCTTCATTAACAGGCAGCTGGCAACAGGTCAGCTATATTGAAATAAACCAAAGATGAGCCAGTTTTGTGCCTTGTGGGCAACTTTCACATTATTTTGACAAGAGCCCAGCCACTTCCAAAGCCCCTTTGTTTAATCAACACCTCAACACAGACTTGCACATATGCACACACCCTGGCAGACACGAGCCAAGACACGTGACACTAACCCTCGCAGTCTACTTGGCGGACCAGCCAATTTCCCTGATGTCGCAGCGATAACATACAGCAGAGGTTGGTGGTCTAAGAAGCTGATGGTTATCCGAGTTCCATGCTGTTCTAGTCTCTCCGGCTCAACAGCAAGTAAAAAACAGCAATGCACGCGTGGCCGTTTACACCCAGCTGTGCTCTCACAACCACTCTTACTGCTAATTGCCAGTGATTCTGAGCAGGCACAGTAACACAATGAGACCTTGGACAACAAACCTGCTCTAGTTATGCAATTTATAACATCTGGTGCACAAATGCTGGGCAAAGCCTACACAGTGCTGTTCAACACATGCAGCTGGATGATGGTACTGTGTAACACTTGCGTGAGGTCTGTTCTGCAAGCACAACAAGATGAGAACAGAACCTGCAGTCCTCAAACTGATAGCACTTTTCTACTCTTATCGACCACTGAAGCCTCACGTACAGTGCAAACCACAGTCGCAGTCATACAGTGCTTTATCGACTTGAAGCAGTTGATTTATCACACATAGAAAGCAAGAAGGCAGAGACCTGCAACGGAAACACAAAGACCAGCTTTCATGCACTTTGCCCTTTGAGGCGAATCTCAAAGCAACTCTAAACTTCTAACAAAATTAGAAGAAGTGACACTACTTACTGTCAAATAATGAGGCAACACAGCAGAAAGCTCTTTCTGGTCAGCGACAATTATTTATTAATCTGCAGGTGTTGCCCTGTCTTGCCATGAACAGAACATTCCTCCTAGCTAGCGAGCAGCTACACCCTCAAATGTCTCATCCTGCGTGTTTGCATGTTGAAAGAACTTCCTGTACTGCGCTGAATTTAACCATGCATCAACACGGGCCACACGTATCACTGTTTTAAACTGTGCAAAAATGTGCAGTATTGCATTAAACTGAAAGAGGAAGATTAGAGCACCAACTTCTTCTCCTTTAAACTCTTAGTTACACATGCTACAAAGATGCAGGCAGTGACTAACATCTCAGCTTCTTTTTCTTTTGTACTGTTGCAAATCAGGTTAACCCGGGAGGTAATGACACAATGAACGGGTACAGGCGAGCTAACAAATGCGGATAAAGCAAACGCACAAGAACCCACCAGACAAACAACCCTTAAGTGGCGACAGCTTACGAGGCCAGTTTCACCTGCTCAGTACAGGTTGTTACCCTCGGCAGCAGAATACAGCTGACACAACCTCACCCATCGCAGCAAATCACACTCAGCAAATGAACAGTGTTGAAAAAAAACAAAACTGGTTTGTTGATCCGCCTAACCCTCTGCTCTGCTCTATTTTGCCTCCATATACAGTTGGGCATTAGCCAAGCAGGAACTGAGAATGCAGCACAGTTTGTTTTTTTTGTTTTCCCCAAATTGGGCCTCTATGCTCCCATAAAAGCGCAAATTCCTCTTATCCCAATAGCTTGCTGGTTTGGCCTGTCAGCTGTGTGAGTGTTTCCTGGTCAAAAAGACAGGGAGAGAGAGACGGAGAAGAAAATCAGACCAGATATCACAGTGATGTGTCATATCATTCTTCAAGGCACAGGTTGTTTTTCTCGCTTCCTCTTCTCTACTTTCAATGCACTCCTTGTGACGGCTGTGCAGCGAGCAGCATTGTGACTGCAGCATACCAAACCGTCACACAGCAGGAAGTGCTCAGTCACAGAGAACTGGCATGTTTCTCTACTGGAAACTATTCTGAAAATCTCAAGTCAAAACTTCTCTGTCATAAATCTCAGCTGTTAGTGTATAATTTTTTTTTTGACTGGATCAGTACCTCACCTCCAAGATGAAAGTATGGCTGAATCTAATAACTATATACTATTCAGTTAGTGATTCTAAACCACTAGGTAAGTCACAAAGCAAACCTTGAACTGAGCTTCTACACCGTTGGCATTTTGAAACCGCAAATTTTTACATCGCAACGGAGACGCGCCAAGCTTTACTCTCCTTTTTTGACTCCAATGGGGGCCGAAATACAACAAAATGATTCTATTCTATTCAACCAGAGCTAAAACTAGACTGAGATCATAAAATCATCAAGACAGGTCATAAAATCAGAACATGGTTTAATTGCTTTAATTGTTGTACAGCGCTTTGTGAGCTCTATATAAAGAAGCTTTACTAAGAACACATGAAAAGCAGGTTTGCATTATGGCATTGCTGGCACAAGTAAGCATGCAGGGTTAAGACACTTCCTGCTTCCATTTTCATGCTTGGAAAACGGAAGCCAGTGTGTCCATCTTTTGTATACAGTGTACGATTGGATAGCATTTTCCCAGAAAAACATGATTATGGTGCACAAAGAAACAGTTTCCAAATTTGTCTCTAATGATACTAAGCCTGGTAATGACTAGACTGACGTGAAATACAATCACCATAATAAATGCAGGTGGTCATTTCTGAACTGTAAAACTGCAGGGCATCTGATGAAGTTATTCCAGTGCATCGAGCCACATTTACCAACATAAGCACCAAGAAATTATAGATACGGCTGTTCTAAGTGTGGCAGACAGCTACATCACTTCAAGCTACCATCTTAATCAAGTGTGAAATTGTTGATTCAGCATATTTTTAAAGAGGGGGGG